TGGGATGTAGCTCGGTGGTACAGTGCTTGCCTAGCATGCGCGAGGCCCTGGGTTCGATCCCAGCACCAAAAAAGAAAAAGACAAAATGAAAAAGAATAAGCATGAATCTCCTCCCAATGTCTAGTTCCTGTCTCCCCCTCAAAACCCACATGAAAATGTAACTACCTGTACTTCCAAAGCCGTTTCTCTACTTAGAGGTTTTTACATGTGAATAGATTTAAATTGAGGAGAAAAGTAAAAGTCTCAGGTAATTTCTGGAACCAAATTTAGCTTCAGAGTATGATACAGCCTGGAGGATCTGGATGACTTCAAATGAATATTTCCTACACATTTTGGTATTGATAACAGTGAACTGAAAAATGTATTTCACAGATATCATGTGGTCGATTTTTAGCTGACTAGACTTTATCTTTTATGGAGGATATCATTTTACTCTTATGGAGGATTACAACTCAATCATCACAGAGACTAATTATAGTATAATGCGTAATATTTTATGAATAAACTACAAGCACATTACTATTTTACATTCTGCCTTTGTACTTATTTCAAAAGCATTTCTATATTGTTACATTATTTTATAAATACTACTTTTAATGGCTAAAAAACTTTTTTAAAGTTCTAAAAAAGATGTACACATCTAGTAAGTATAACGTGATTAAACTTTTCACTTATAGCTAGTTATTTAAGTTGCTTCTAAATTTTTGTGTTAAATTTAGGTAATGCTGCAAATAAACACTTTATGTTTTAGATAATGTCTTTGGCATAGACCAACAAGGGATTACTACATTAAGAAAGTCTAAATAATTTATGATTTTAATATATTTAAAAATATTATTAAATAATATATGAAAATACTTTTATATTCTAGCTACCCTTACTGCCCACTCCAACCCTTGTTCCTCACCTATCTTTTTGTTGTTGTTTATTTAAGACAGGATCTCATGATGTAGCCCAGGCTGGCATGGAACTCATAATCCTCCTGCCTGTCAAATGCTAGAATTACAGGTGTGTGCCACTACATCTGACTTAAGAATCACTTTTATTACTCCTTTGTTTTAGTTCCTATATTTATGCTACTGTTCCCTATCTATTAACTATAGATATTATTTACTGACTTTCTATGACAATTAATGAGAATTTAGTTCAATTAACCACATCTTATTATCCCCATTAAATCAGGTGGATTTATAATGTTAAATAATAAAGTTAAATATATTTCTTTGTCTGTGAACTTTAGTATTTCTTCATATTAATAATCTTAGCCTTTTCCAATTCCTAATGGTTATACATTTACTATTATATTGTTATACTTAATAATATATTTTGAAGCTATATTATGGCTTCAAAACGTTCATATTATGAAGTTGTCCATGCTAACTGTTTTTCAAAATGCAAATACTCAATAGTGCTTACATTATGATTATATAAGCATTATTAAGTCATGATTATGCTTCCTTCTACTAGGTATCAATGTTATGACTCTTAAGCAAGAAAAATATTCTTATATGAAGGTCAATAGATTCTCTTACAACTTTGATTCTTGTCTTGGAAAATAATGAGAACCATACAAGATCAAGTATTAAAATGTATAATTTTCTCAAACCATGGGTAGTTCTAACTTGCCACCAATGTTAAAGTCCAATGTCATGCTTCTGTATCATTATTTTATATTTCAGTTCAAAAAATTATTATCTACCAAGGGGGCAAATTCATAAGGCATTCCCACCTGCCAGAGCATCCCGATAAAGCTGCACAAAGTGATTAAAGATGTCCTTTGGCAAACACTTTTCATCTGGCAGACACTGTAGCAGAATGACTATCTCTGATTGACCTACTGCATGCATTCCCTTGGTTGTGAAACACCAGCACTTCCTGTTCACATCTGCAGATGCAATAAAATACAAGAATAAAGACATTCTCCTCAATCCTTGCTTTTAAAAAAGATATACAGAAATCTATATTACAATACAGCAAAAAATAAAAGATCATAAAAGTTTCTATAATTCAACTATAAACTTTCACTACATTGAGTCAAAGAATCATCATAGAGAATAAAACATGTCAATGCCTCTGGCTCTTTTGTAAACACTTTGAAAAAACAACTGAAAGGAAAGTAAAAGAAATAATACTGAAAGAAAATGCACTTTAAAAATTTAACCCCTATTATTAAAAGACATAACTAGTAAAAGAAACATTCTATTAATAATAAAATAAAACCAAAAGACCATAATAGTTAAAGGAGATAATCCTCCACATTTATACAAAAAGAATCACTTTATCCAAGGACATAATTACTTATGTAAGACCAGAAACAACAATAATAAAAGCCAGTATTACAGCTTTTGGCTTCAGGTTGTGACCTAAAGAAAAAGAAGTTTATGTACAAGCTAGTTTAATTATAGTATTTCCTGGGAGAAAATATCAGATCATCAGAAACATAACTTTACTTGGCTTTATGCTATAAAAAGTCATTTAAAAAAAGATGGCTTTTCTAGACTTCCACTCCTTCATTTTAAGGCAAGGAAGACAATGAAAAGCACAAGCCATATGGTAGTCAAAAGTAGTATTCAATCACTGACACTTTTATTATTTGTACCCTAACACAATGGATCCCCAAAGGAAATGAAAAAGGATTCAAATAAAATTATGAATATTATCATGTATATCAAAACTAATAAAAGTTTCTTTCACTTTGAAAAATATTACTCTATATGTATATAAACAGGAAGCACCCAATACAACTACAATAAGATTGTATATAGTTGAGGACTCAAGTATAACTTAGAAACTACATAAGGTAAATTGAAATTTCAACGAACTTATATATAAATCTGATCCTGGAAGGAGAAAAAGGTAGAAAACATTAAAAACTGGCCAAACATACGAAGTTATGATCATCAAGTAAGCTAGAAACCTACATTTCATCAATACAGAATCTCTAAGAAAGTATCATATAGGTGTTTCTGGTTTGCTAGGACAAACTTAAAACACAGTGGGAACTGGAGAACTGTTCTCCTGAGCTTCTTCCAAAACTTCATAGACTAGGATAAATGTATTCTCTACTTTTTTATTGGAAAGAATCAAGATTTTAAGTTAGCGTTCTCTTCTTTGTTCTGACATCCATGAATCTATCACCAAGAACTGAGAAGTTTCTTCTGAATCCTATTTTATGATATGGCAACGTTTGACTATGTATTAGTTAACTGACACTTTTCCCATACAAAGTTCAGAATCATGATTAAAGTTTCTGGGGTTAAAACCTAGTATGCAAATTGGCTTTCCTCGATAATTTAATCACCTCTAGACATTCTGATAGTGAGTTGTGACTCAATATACTCATTTCAAGAAGATCTGACCTCAGATTAGTTCAAGATCTATTTGACTTTACAAAGAATTCACCTATCTCATCCCTGTGACTAAAGGCAAGAATTCGTTTCAGTACCACAAGTTCCTCTGGGATATTTTCTATAAACCAACTTCTTCATTTTTTTTTTTTTTTAGTAGGATTGGGGTTTGAACTCAGGGCCTCATACTTGCTAGGTAGGTGCTCTACCACTTGAGCCATTCTGCCAGCCCAACTTCTTCAGAAGTTTAGTAAGGTGTGACACTACATAAAAAATATGTTTGTGTAATGAATTTGAAAACTTTTATTTACTATCTCTGAGTCTGTAATGCATTTCATTTTAATTAAAAATAAATGTCTAACTTACAATTTACAATTTTAACCATTGACAACAAATTTGCATTTAAAACAAATACAAGTGGGTCAGGGCCACCATCCTCCAACTGCTGCATTACTGAAATTTGTGATGGTTTCTCTTCCACAGCGTAGTCTGTAAGGAGAGAAAACATTGCAACAGATTGGTTAAAGGGACAAATTGAGAAAGAAATCTGATGGAGAATGGGCTGATTATTCATAGGAAAGAGATAAGTATTTGCTCTATTAATAAGGAGAACACAAACCATGGTTTGTACCTGCTGTCTCACTATCATGTTAATAGTGCCTTTTACTCTGAACTCCAGTTCAGTTTGGATAATATGATTATCCTATGTATTGACCTCTCCTCAAAATGGTTTGTGCCAAGTCTAAAGATAACGTATTTATTTAACAAAAATGTCTAACTCTCATAATAAATAATAATAATAAATGTTGTAAGACCAATATTTAAAATAACAAAACACATACAAAAATATGATAATACACTAGCAGTTATCTCTGGAAAGGATATTAATGGGCTGGGATAAAGGTAAGCCCTGCTTCTTACTTTATACCATGTTGTACAGTTTTGACCATTAGACTTTAAAAAATGTATTCAGAAAATAAAAGTATCATTGGTAAGTAGTTTTATGAAATAATTCCTTTAAGTATAATTCAAGAGCTTAGTACATATATCACTAAAATAAAGGAAATAAATGCTACTTGCCTGAGCTCATAAATGTGTCATTAAGGGACAATAACATTAAACAAAGTTACACCATTTACCATTGACAAGTAGAAAAAAACATGCAGGGTACAGTGGCTCAAGAGAAAAAAGTAACTTTTTTGGATGTAATGGAAAATGTTCACCATCTTATCAATGAAAATATTTACTGGAAAGAGAAATATTAAGTGACTTAAGAAAAAAATTATGAAGTTATCTCACTGGAATACAAAATTTTAAAATTCTGGTTAAATTACTGTAATATGGTTTAATTAATCAAATATAGACAACTAGTTGTTCTTGGTAGGAGAGATTAGATTTAATGGATACAAGTTTTATAAAAACAGAACATTACAATCTAACATATTTTAACAGTAGAGTAAGCCAGTATAATTCTTTATTAATCTAAAATTTATTAAAATTATCCAAATTTGAAACCTAAGTAGCAACTTTCCTAACAAAAGAATATTTTAGGGGGTCCTGGTAAAGGAGCAAAGGTATGACACAATCAAAAGCATGCTTAATTTTATGTGAAAGTTCATTGATGAACAATCTGGGACAGCTGCATTCGATAGCCAAAATCTGCTGAGAACTACTATGGGACAAGCACCATGAAAAAGGAAGAATTCACAAACATAAATTAAGACTGAAGGAATTCATGGTCTAATTCAAAGAATCAGACCTATAAAATACCTAAATTACAATAAGAAAAGTGTTTATGGAGCAACAGTTTAGAAGAATTGCTGTTAGGACAGAGGTAAGAAAGCAAAACACTAATTTATAGGCAGTCCACATCAGGAATCAGAGAACAGTTACTCACTAAGCTGGATTTTGGAAGGTTGAGGAGGTATTAAAGAAGTCTAGCATGTACACAGAAATATTCCAGGCAGAAAAAAGAATAAAAAGAAAATAGTAATTATATGCCTTTGTATCAGACACTTGTTTTGTTTTGTTTTTGATGGTACTAGGGTTTAAATTCAGGACCTCGAGCTTCCTAGGCAGGTAGTCTACCACTTGAGCCACACCTCCAGCCCCGTATCAGACACTTTCTTGCTATGGACATAAAGGTATGATACCTGATTTAATACTCACAATGACTCTTAAGTAGGTATAGTTGCCTAATTAAAAAAAATAGAACAGGTTCAGAGAGAATAAGTGACTTGCCCACTAGATCACGTAGCTAGAATGCAATGGTACTAGGATTAAAATTTGGGTCTGTTCAACTATAAAGTGTATTTTCAATTATTTGTAGCAAAATAAAAAGATTGAAAATAAAAAAGTGAACTTTCAAAAAACAGTAAACCTATAATTTACATGTAAGGTACTGGAAATAAAGTTAGAAAGAGGGGTTGAGATATGGTTGTAAGGAACAGAGTTTGCTAAGGTAAGTAATTTATATTGAGAATCCATTAAATATTTCTAAACAAAGACAATATATGATAATATCTATGTATAAAAAGATAATTGACAACAGTATGGAAGATAAAATAGAGACAGCCTGAAGTGAAGGAGATCTGGTAAAAGACTAAGACAAAGAGGTACCAGGAGTTTAGCTCAAGCAGAACACCTGCTTCACAAATGTGAAGCACTGAGTTCAAGCCCCAGTCTCACCAAAAAAAGCAAAAACAAAAACAAAAAGAAACAAACAAAAAAACCCCACTAAGACAAAGGGAAAAAGAGATTATTCATAAACCTTCTCCTAAAAATGAACTGACTGGCTGCTGATCTGCATACACCAATAATAAACTTTCACATAAAGTTAAACATTCTTTTGACTTGATAATAATTTTACATCTTATCAGGATTTCCTAAAATTATGCACACATATACACATGCACTGAGATTTTTTATTTTTTATTGTAGCACTGAGGTTCAAACCCAGAGCCTCATACATGCTAAAATATTTTTAACAGCAAAACTGCTATTTAAGTCCTCACCACACTTATTATAAGTATGTGAGTGATAATCATACTTTAAAATAAAATCAATTAATGTCCTGACTGTACCATATGAACCAATACTAGAACCACAAGTAACTCTTTAACAGTACTATGCACTTTGAAATACAAAGAAAAATACACATTTATATTGTAATTAATATTAGATCCTTCCAAAGAATGAAAACGACATTATAATGTAAAAAGATAAACACCTACTCTAAAATAAGTACTAATAGCAACAATTATTTTCATGACATTGGGGTAGTTGATTTTTTGTTATTGTTGTTGCTGTTGGATAGAAGGATGGCTATCATTCAAATTCTGTCTCCTTCCCTTCATAGGAAACAATATTTGGCATACATAACTATCTCTTGCTTAAATATGTAAGTCCACATACCTCCTTTTACACCAGTGGATATGAGAATGGGAGGAAGGCCATCTTCAGGGATAAGGTTCATTGCACTTCCAACAGGACTTCCAACCTGAGTTATACTCCCAGAAAACAGAGAAATCTCTGCCTAGGAAAAGCAAATCAACGGCATGAACATTATAGAATATGGTATTATAGTTTTAGAAGAATATAGTTATGACTATAAAGAGAAAGTGAAATTTTAAAATTCATGCTTTTCTCCCCTTTATTGCTGTGCTGCATGGGGGTACACTGTGGCATTTACAAAGTTTCTTACAACTGTATCAAATATATCACACTTGAATTCACCTCCTCCACAGTTCTGCTTTATCCTCCCACCCCCGATTCCTGGAACAGTTTCAACACATATCATTTTTGCATTTACATACATGTGTACACATTACTTACACTGAATACATCCGCCTACTCCCTTTCCCTGCCCACTCCCACTGGTGTCAACTCCCCACCCCCACAGGACCTGTTCCACCCTCCTGTTCTCTAATTTTAGATCTAGGATTTGTTTATTGATTTTTTGTTTGGATGACCTATCTATTGGTGATAATGAGATGCTAAAGTCCCCCATGACCACTGTGTTGGGAGTTAATATATGCTTTTAGGTCTTTCAGGGTATGTTTGATGAAACTGGGTGCATTGACATTGGGTGAATATAGGTTGATAATTGTTATTTCCTTTTGGTCTGTTTCCCCTTTTATTAGTATGGAATGTCCTTCTTTATCTCATTTGATCAAAGTAGGTTTGAAGTCTACTTTGTTCAAGATAAGTATTGCTACTCCTGCCTGTTTTTGGGGGCCATTGGCTTGGTAAATCTTCTTCCAGCCTTTCATCCTAAGCCTAAGCTTATTTCTATCGATGAGATAGGCCTCCTGTAAGCAACAAATTGTTGGCTCTTCCTTTTTAATCCATTTCGTCAAGTGGTGCCTTTTGATGGGTGAATTAAGTCTGTTAACATTAAGTGTTAGTATTGATAGGTATGTGGTGAGTTCTGTCATTTAGTTGTCTTAGTTGTTTGAAGGTTTGATTGTGCGTACCTAAGTTGAGGTTACTCTCTTTCTTGCTTTTTGTTTTCCTGTGGTTTGGTGCTGTCTGTCTTTCAAAGTTAAGTTGAGTTTCACTTTCTGTG